TGGCCTCTCTCACCACTCCTATGCAATATAGTATTGGAAGTTCTAGCCAGAGCAAACAGGCACGAAAAAGAAAGTGTATTCAATTAGGAAAGGAGGAAATCAAACTGCTTCTATTTGCAGATGACATGATCATATATTTAGAAGACCCTATCATCTCAGCCCAAAATCTCCTTAAACTGATAAGCAACTTCAGTAAAGCCTCAGGATACAAAATCAATGTGCAAAAAATCACAAGCATTCCTACACACCAATAACAAACTTAAAGAGAGCCAAATCAAGAACGAACTGCCATTCACAATTGCTACAAAGAGAATAAAATACCTAGGAATAAAACTAACAAAGGATGAAAAGGTCTTCTTCAAGGAGAACTACAAACCACTGCTCAAGGAAATAAGAGAGGACACAAACAGATGGAGAAACATTCCATGCTTATGGTTAGGAAGAATCAATATCATGAAAATGGCCATACTGCCCAAAGTAATTTATAGATTCAATGCTATCCCCATCAAGCTACCAATGACCTTCTTCACAGAACTGGAAAAAAATACTTTAAACTTTATATGGAACCAAAAGAGAGCCCACATAGCCAAGTGTAGTCTCAGCAAAAAGAACAAAGCAGGATGCATCACACTACCGGACTTCAAACTATACTACAAGGCTACAGTAATCAAAACAGCATGGTACTGGTACCAAAACAGAGATATAGACCAATGGAACAGAACAGAGGCCTCGGTGGCAATGCCACACTTCTAAAACCATCTGATCTTTGACAAACCTGACAAAAACAAGCAATGGAGAAAGGATTCCCTGTTTAATAAATGGTGTTGGGAAAACTGGCTAGCCACATGCAGAAGGCAGAAACTGGACCCCTTCCTGACACCTTACACTAAAATCAACTCCAGATGGATTAAAGACTTGAACGTAAGATCTAACACCATTAAAACCCTAGAAGAAAATCTAGGCAAAACTATCCAAGACATAGGCATAGGCAAGGACTTCATGACTAAAACACCAAAAGCAAGGGCAACAAAAGCCAAAATAGACAAATGGGATCTAAATAAACTCCAGAGCTTCTGCACAGCGAAAGAAACAATCATTAGAGTGAACTGGCAACCAACAGAATGGGAAAAATTTTTCAAATCTACCCATCTGACAAAGGACTTTTATCCAAAATCTACAAAGAACTAAAACAGATTTACAAGAAAATTTAAAAAAAAATTCAAAAATGGGCAAAGGATATGAACAGATACTTTTCAAAAGAAGACACATATGAGGCCAAGAAACATATGAAAAAATGCTCATCATCACCAGTCATTAGAGAAGTGCAAATCAAAGCTATATGAGATACCATCTCATGCCAGTTAGAATGGCGATCATTAAAAAATCTGGAGACAACAGATGCTGGAGACGATGTGGAGAAACAGGAACACTTTTACACTGTTGGTGGAAGCATAAATTAGTGCAACCATTGTGGAAGACAGTGTGGCAATTCATCAAGGACCTAGAAAAAGAAATTCCATTTGACCCAGCAATCCCATTACTGGGTATATATCCAAAGGATTAGAAATTGTTCTATTATAAAGACACACACACACATACACACATATGTTCATTGTAGCACTGTTTATAATAGCAGACTTGGAACCAACCCAACTGCCCATCAATGATACATTGGACAGGGAAAATGTGGCACATATACACCATGGAATACTACGCAGTCACAAAAAATGATGAGTTCATGTTCTTTGCCAGGGTATGGCTGAATCTAATTTTTTAAAAAGGAAAAACTCTCAGGAAAGTAAGAATCCAGGGACCTTCATCAGCATGATAAAGAGCATCTATGACGAACCCACAGCTAACATGCCTCATGGTGAAAAATTGAGTATGTTCCCCAGAAGATGAAGAACACAAGAATGTTTGCTTTCACTGCTTTTATGTAGCATTGTTCTAAATATTCTAGCTAGTTTAGTCAGGCAAGAAAAAGAAACATCATCCCAGTTGAAAAAATTAATAAATCTGTCTTTATACACAACCATGATCACACAACAGGTTTGGGTAAACTCTAACCTATGGGCCAACTTCTTGTCTTTGTCAATGAACACAGCTGTGTTCATTAGTGTACAAGTTGCCTACGGCTGCTCTCATACTACATTAGCAGTGTCAATCAGCTACAACAGAGACACCTTCTTCCACAAGTCTTTAATAAGAAACTACTTTAAGAAAAAGTTTGACAGTCTTTGGTCTATGTAGAAAATCTGATCAAATCTTCCAAGAACGTACCAGAACTAATAAGTGGTGAGTACAGCAAGATTGGACTATGTAAAATCAACATACAGAAACCAATTGTATTTCTATATATTAGCGATAATCAATCAGAGTAAAAATGTTAAAATATTATTTATGACTATATCAAAAACTGATATACTGAAACATCTGATAAAACACAAGAAGCCCTATATACTAAAAACTACAAAATATTACTGAGAAAATTAAATATGACCTATATAAACACAGACATACACTTCTTCAGGAGCAGGAAGATTCATTATTGTTAAGATGTCAATTCTCCATAAATTAATTTATAAATATAACACAATCCCAACCTAATGTCCAAGCCAGTAGGCATTTTTTAAGTTGACAAGTCAATTCTAAAGTTCATGTGGAAATGCAAAGGTTCTAGTATAGCCAAAACAGAACAAATAACAAAATTGGAAAACTGATTTTGAGAATTATTATAAATCAATAGTAATCAAAACAATGTGCCACTGGTACAGGATGAACATCCCTTATTCAAAATGCTTGGGACCAGAAGTATTGCAGATTTTGGATTTTGGAATATTTGCATATATATAATGATATCTCTAGGAGATAGGACCCAGGTCTAAACACAAAATATGCTTATTTTTCATATATATCTTATACACAAAGCCTTAAGGTAATTTTATTTTATTTCAATTTTTGAGATAGTCTCGCTCTGTCACCCAAGCTGGAGTGCAGTGGTGAGATCACAGCTCATTGCAACTTTCACCTCCCAAGTTCAAGCGATTTCTTGCCTCAGCTACCTGAGTAGCTGGGATTATAGGTGTGCATTAACACACTTAACTAATTTTTGTATTTTTAGTAAAGATGGGGTTTTGCCATGTTGGCCAGAATGATCTTGAACTCCTGACCCAAAGTGATCCTCTCCCCTTGGCCTCCCAAAGTTCTGGGATTATAGGCATGAACCACCGTGCCTAGCCTCTGAACGTAATTTTAAATATTTTATAATTTTTTGCATGAAACAAAGTTTGTGTACATGAGCTCAGATATGGAACTTTCCACTTGTGAGATCAGGTTGACAATAAACACACTGGATTTTACAGCATTTCAGATTTGAAATTTTTGAATTAGGGATGCTCAACCTATATAAAGAAAGTCAAATACAGACAGTTCCCAACGTAAGGTGGTTTAACTTAGTGACTTTACAATGGGTTTAATGAAGTATCACTTAGCTTTTGACTGAAATCAGAAGTAACCCTACCATAATTTGAGGAGCATCTGTAAATTAGTAGAATTCAATAGAGTCCACAGGCAAATAGATGACATACAGGCAACCAGTTTATTTCTGACAAAGGCAGGATGGCAATGTAGTAGAGAAAGGGTAGCCATTTCCATATATGGTACCCAAACAACTGGTTGTTCATATCCAAAAAGTTAACTTGAATCCATTTCTCATTCTATACATAAAAATGAACTCAAAATGATGCATACATTTAAATGTAAGATCTAGAACTATAAAACGTCTAGAATGAATATAGAATAAAATTTTTGTCAAATTTTGAGAAAATTACTTGTGCTAGGAAACATTTCTTAGATATGACATAAAAATGCAAACTCTGTAACTAAACAAAGTTCATCAAAATTAAAAACCTCTGCTCTTCAGAAAAGACACTATTAAGAAAATGAAGTCAAGCCACAAACTGGAAAAAATGTTCCTGTAAAGTGATAGTGTCCAGAAGTCTTAAAATTCAACAAGCAAGAAAACATCAACCTAATACTGTAAATAGAAAAATATTTGAAAACACAGTTCACCAAAGAGGATATACAGATGGCAAATAAAACATGGAAAGATGTTCAACATGTTTAGTCATTAGGATCATGCACAAAATCCACACCTACGAGAATGTTACAAATAAATGCTGCAATACTTAGTATGACAACACAGCAACAGAAACTGTCCTAGTTTGTTGATGGCATTGGAAAAACGGTACACATGTTTTGGAAAACAATTCAGCAGTTTTTCTAAAAAGGGAACATAAAGCAGCACAGGACACTTCTGTGGGTGATGGATAAGATAACTATGTTCATTATGGTGATAGTTTCACAGGTGTATATACCTGTCAAAAACTTATTAAATTGTACATCTTACATATGTGCACTTTAACATATATCAACTATACCTCACTAAAGCTAAGGACTGTAGGAGCAAACACCTGGGGCACTGGCTGTGATGTGGAGAGAAACAAGGATATGAAATGTTGCAGTATAAAGCTAGAGTCTTGACATGTCTATCTTATAGCAATAACAAGTGGCAGCTGGGTGTTAAGCAAGCAGGTAACATGATCAGATGTAAATTTTTAAAATGTATATAAATATGGTTGCAGAATAGACCATGGTTTTGGAAGGTGGAGCAGTAGGGAAAAGAGTTAAAAAAAGAATTATCACAGTATTCAACATACGAGATAATGACCTGACCCTAGATAAAGGCATAGGAGAGAAGCAGAGTCAACATATAGATTGGGACTGTCATTTCACACTGAGAAAGGTATAGTGGAATGATCACAGCTCTTTGGCTAAAAGTATACAAGATAAAGCAGTTCTCATTCTACATTCACAAAAAGTATATTTCTGAGATGAACATTCCTATAACGTATCAGTGATCTATGATACAGTGCCAAGTAATGTGTGCAAACATTACTATAGACTAGAGAAAAAGCCTTATATTTATGCATTGGTCCTACCTTTACACTCCATTCTATGTTGTTCAATGAGTAACATAAAATTCTTATCATCAGAGTAAGGCAACTCATCATCCTCTGAGGTTGTTTCAGATGACCAAATTATGTCATCGAGGTCATCCTTGAAATATAGATGTCTTTTAACCTATAAAACAAATAACACTGTTTCAAAATGTCCCCCAAATATTTATAGCATATATTAAATGTACACCAGTGGGAATTATTCATCTTTTTTTATGAGCAAAACCAAAGTACTTCTTAAAACAGTTAATGGACTTTAGTTAAAAGGGTACCTTTATGAATGGTTACGGCTGCTTTTCCAAAGCCAGTATCTTTACTACAAAAGATTTTCTGTTTCTTTAAGTGACCTTTAATAAGGGATTTTCAACAACATTCTTGACAATTTACTTTTACAATACCTTGTTCTCTTTATTAGATGTTTTCTTTGCAAGCCTAAAAAAAAAAAAAAAAAAAAGTTACAATCAGGCAAATAGTAAACATGTAAAATACAGACTATCTATAACTATTTTCTATATAAAACCTCTATATTTATAATTTCTCTCTCCTATCCATAAAGTTTACAGGCAATATTTCACAGGTGATATAAAATACAATTATTTTCTACAATGGGATAAAGTAAATGGAAAGGGTAGCATTAGTTTTCTGACAGCCAAAGAAAATGAAAACACATATTACTTGCATTATTTGATAGAAAATATATATACTAGCTTTTTCTCTTGTTACTCCCATTTATTTATTTATTTATTTATTTATTTATTTATTTAAGAGAGTCTTGCTTTGTTGCCTGGGCCAGAGTGCAATGGTATGATCTTGGTTCACTCCAACTTCCACACCTAGTGATTCTCCTGAGTAGTTGGGATTACAAGTGCCTGCCACCACACCTACTTATTTTTCATTTTTTATATTTTTTGTACTTTTAGTAGAGATGGGGTTTCACCATGTTGGCCAGGCTGGTCCTGAACTCCTGAACTGAGGTAATCCACACAGGCCAATGTCTTGGCCTCCCAAAGTGTAGGATTATAGGTGTGAGCCACTGCACCTGACCTTATTGCCCTTTTCTATACAAACAAGCTTTAACTGGTACTAAGACTTATTTGATAAATATTACTTATATAACAGAAACCCGTTTTAAAATTATGACATTAGTGAGCTTTTCAGGACATACTGTGCAGGTACTGTGTACTATTCTAAACACTGTACAAGTGTTTAAGTCACTTGAATCCTCCTAAAAATTCTGTGAGATAGATAACATACTAGGCATTTTATAAAGGAAGAAAATAGGCATACATACATCATCAAGGCATATTTAAATTCTATCCAATATGACCAAGTGTTTGTATGTTTGTTATTATAGAATTTCTAAAAATATATGCATGTGAGTTTAACTTTAGGTCATCATTTTCATGTACCATTACATTAAAATATTCCATTCCTGAACCAATTCTGAAAAAACACCTCTTCTGATAAAACTATACATGAATAGAAATTGTATAAATAATTGATTTACTATAGATATTTAAAAGATAACTTTCCAATCCTCAGACATGCAAACAAAACTAAATTCCAAAAACACATTTCTTCTCTAACAGATTATTCCAAACAGCAAACAAGAATACTCTAACAGCTTCCATTTTAAAATTGAAAAAGAAACAAGAGTCACTTGAATCTTTCATTCTTCTTCTTTTGTTACCCATTTCTCTACTCCCTTTTGCAGTCAAAGTTCTCTCAAGATTTGTCTGTGCTTAGCCACTACAGTCAGGGTTCCATGGCAACCAGTTGAAACTCATCATTTTAATCAATGTTCCAGCAGCATTGACACAGTTGAGTATTCTCTAGATTAGGCTGTCTACACTATTTTATTTCCAGAGAAAGTAATCACTGCTAATATTCCTTCACAAGGAGACAAAAAAAAATCAGAGATTTTTATCCTCCTTCATCCTTAACCATTTCACTAAAACTGATATCATTATTTTTCTGGAAGACTACCAGAAAAAATTATATGTGAGCATGAGAAAGACATTATGGAAGAGGCAAAAGACAAGAGGAGCTCACCAGGCCAAAACAAAAACAAAAACAGTAAGAGAAATCCATTTTATATAGAGAATAGAATGTGAGCACAGGGATTAGGCACATGGCATCCAGTTGTTTCTTGGGAAGTTGAAAGGTAAAATGTAAAATACATGAAAGCAAACACTGAGAAAAGAATGCTACACTAAACTTGAATGCTACACTAAAATGCTGGAGCTCCCTGCCTGCAAGGCAATGACTCTTAGACATAGGGTCATAGTTAGATTTGTTTCATAGTTATTGTTTTAACGTGTTTCATTTAAATTAAGTTTTCAGAATACTATGAGGCACATATAACCTAAAAGAAACTGTGAAATTACCATAAAGGGAAAAAACACTTGCTTTTAAAATACCTATATGTCTTTATATATAGTTCAAAAATAGCACTATTCTGATTAGTTAGGATTTTGTTTGAAAATAGAATGACTTAGAAACTTTTGTATACTTATAGTGTGGTATCTATTCCTAATATGAAAAGCTGGATTTATCAGCAGAAAATTGTAAACACATGAATAAGAATATCACTATCATATACCTACATAAATTTACAAAAAGGCTGAAATTTCCCATTGGAGATTATTATGTTAGGAGTTCAGCCTGAGCCCCTAAAAACACAAAAAAAACAAAAATAAATCCAGCAATTATTTACCAAAAATATATGTAGACGAGTCTTCTAGTTAAGACTAAGCTTCTAAAAACTATCTTTCTGAGATCATTGATCCAACAATTTCTCTTGAACCAAACTTAAAAAATAAGTATATAATTCTGGAATATAAAATAAGAGTTCATTTGAGCATAGTTGATAGAAGGCAACTTTCAAACAGAAAACATCTGATTAACATTGCCACAAACTAAGGAAAACTGACCTGTAGTCATGGTAACAGGTAGCCACCCAGAACCAATTTTTAATCTAGTCAGTCAATGACCACTGGCCTCACTAACACCAACAAATGAATGTCAGCCACTTGCCTCTGAAGACATCCAGAGATAAACTCATTCCAGTCAGCATTCCTGGAAGTGTCAACTAATCCACAACAGTCTTACACAGATAACCACATTGCTCCAGATGATGTCAACCCAGTTATGCCTATGAGAGTCAGCCAAGCCTTCAACTTCACTATTCCATAAACCTTTTATAAGGCTTAGTAGCTGCTCCATTACAAGAGACTGTCTGACCAGTACAGATTTCTTATTAGAGAAAGTAATAAATCAAACTTTTTTTTGAGACAGGGTCTCATTCTGTTGCCCAGACTGGAGTGTGGTGCCAATATCTCATCTCAGTGCAACCCCTGCCTTCCAGGCTCAAGCAATTCTTCTGCCTTAGCCTCCCAAGTAGCTAGGATTACAGGCACACCACTACTGACAGCTAATTTTTGTATTTTTGGTATAGATGGGATTTCACCATGTTGGCCAGACTGGTCTTGAACTTCTGATCTCAAATGATCCACCTGCCGTGGCCTCCCAAAATGCTAGGATTACAGGAGTGAGCCACCACACTTGGCCAAATCCAACTTTCATCTGTTTATTTCAGAAGCTAAAGGCTCATAATCCTTTGAAAAAAATGTTTACATCCATTGCATTTACCACACGAATATTTTATTATTCCTAATAAAATACCAGTGAAGTTTGCAACTCTTATGATTCCTTGTACAATGATTAAAATGATCATAATTACCAGTAATAGAATGGTGAATGACCACAATATTGGGCTTTTCTCCCTAATTAGAAAACTATTAATATAGAGAGTATAGCTCATTAAAAAGAGCCAAAAGAGTCCATAAAGAGCATATAATTGCCAGGTAAAATAGTCAGAATGAACCCATATCAAACTGTACTTTAAGTGAATATTATTGTTTAAAACCATACACCAGGATAAACCAGACTAGAAAGGCAAAAGCTTAAATCAGGAAAATAAGAGGTCAGATGCTGTGCTGCCTTTTGAGTATTAGGAGAAAATTTGGCATATATTTTGAGTGAAATGGGAAGCAATTGGAAGTTTTTAACCAAAAGAGTGACATAATCTGACATGTTTTCATAGGTTCACTGGGTTAAGAATTGATGAAAACAGGATTAAACACAGAGAAACAGGAAGACCAATTAGCAGTCTATTATGCTAATCTAGACGGCCGATCAGATGGTAGTGGAGTTGCTTAGACATGAAAAAATGTGACTGGTTTTTGGATATATTGTGAAGTTAGTCCTGACGAGATCTGCTAACATTTTAGCTGTGGAGTGTCAGAGGTGGGGGTTAAGGGAGGGAGCCAGAGAAAGCATGTGTGAGTCAAGGATGACAGCAGGCTTTTGGGCAGAGCATTTGCAAGAGTTGTGATTAATGGAACAACAAAAGACTACATGAGGGGCAGGTAGGAGAAAGACCATCGGTAGCTAGATTTTGGACCTAATAAATTTGCCATACCCAATAGTTAATCAAGGAGAGATGTCAAATAGACAGGTTGACATATAGGCCTGAAATGGGCTAGAGGTATAAATTTGAAAATTATTAGCATATACAAGCTAGTAAAAGTCACAAGAAAAAACCTCAAGAACTGAGCCCTGGGTCTCTTAAATCTATAAAAGGTAGAAAATGAGAAGATGTAAGCAAAACAGGCTAAGATGGATGGACTAGAAAGTCAGGAGGAAAATCTAGCTGAGTGAGTGAGATTCTGAGGGTCAGTGAAGAAAGTGTTGTAGAGGACAGAGTTTTCCATTGGGTCAAGTATTGCTGATAAGCTACATAAAGTGAGATCTAAAAAAATTATGTCTAGATGTATTACATTGAAAAATCTGTGACAACGTTGAGAATAACAGTTTTGGAAGAGTGGTGAGAGCGAATATTATGGCAGTGAGTTAAAGAGTGAATGGAAAGGAAACTTGAATCCATGAGTACAGACAGGTTAATTTTAAGGACATTTTCAATCCTTTCATAATGATTAATAATGATTAATGATTAGTTACATAGTATGTTTTAACATCTTAAAAGCTTTTAAAAATTATACACACACAAACACACACACACATACACACACACACACACACACACACACATATATGTCAAGCCAGACATATACGGCAAGTCAGACCAAGGTACTGAATAACATCATAAAATTATAGAACTAAAATACCCCTTGAACATTTCTAGATTATAAGGCTGGTTATCATTTTGGTCATGCATATAAAGACCACAGAAAGACTAAAGGGCAGTATTTCTTACTTGAAAAAAAATCACTCAACTCTGAGATATTTTATCCTCATCAAATATACAAAATGGTTAGTCATATTAAAATAATAAATTATATAAGATGAAAAAAGGTAAAACTTAAAATCTTATTTTGTCTACTGAATTTTATAAATTATATAATAGGAAGTCACTGTTGTAAAATATGGTGTTGTGCATACTGAAATATCTTTTGAAAGGATAATCGGATGCATTTAAAGTGCCTCAAAAGAGGAGGTTCACTGCATTAGCAGCACCTTGGTTTTGGCATAGGAGTCAGCAAATCAGTACTTGTGGGCCAAATTCAGCCCACTGCCTGTTTTTGTAAGTAAAGTTTTCTTGGAACACAGTGCTACCTATTTATCTATTGTCTATGAAAGATGTCAGAGACCTTCTGGTCCACGAAACCTAAAGCAGTTACTCTTTACAGGAAAAAATTGGGCAAACTCCTGACTCGGTAGATCAAAGATCCTTTGAAATATTAACAAGTTTTACCAATACACTGAATATTTACATGGAATACAGATCCCCATGTGCAATCCCTTGACAATATTCAGATTAGCACTCATGTATTGAGAACAAGAAACAAATGTCATAACTAGCAATTTTGTTGGTAACGTAAAGTGCCAAGGAAGCACGTAGTTGCCTTTTGCAACTCGGTAGATATTACAAGTATCAAGATATTACAGTATCATATTCTGACAAAATTTACTTAAGATGTGTTATCAAACTAAATGTTTTAAATATACATTACTGATGAAGTAATCAGTATACTATAGATGTAACCTAATTTTAAAAAGAGGGTTGCATACTACCTTATTTAATGGGTATGATGATTTACCTATTTCCTTATTAATGGGATTTTAGACTATCTCCAGCTTTCTGATACGATGATGCTATAATGAAAATTCTTAACATATATAAGCATGTAACATATATAAAATCTTTAACACAGATTTATTATACTTAAGATGTTTCATATTATTAAATATTGCTATAGGCTTACCTATTATACTCTTCACTCTTCTGCCTAGGAAATTGATGATTATCAGGTTTTCTGCTCCTTCTTTCTTGGATTAATTCATCATCATCACTGTCACTGTAATTGGCATCTAGGTTTCTTGACACTTCCATTTTCTTATTTCTGTGTGTTTTCATTTTTTCTGCAACCTTCAATGAAAGTTTGACACTGATAATAATTGCCATTATTTTATCTAATAGAAAGAACTTTTTTGTTTTCATTCATTTTATCACTTAACTCTGTCATGATAATGGTCATTAAAATATTTTGTATTTAATTTTATCACTATATAATTATTACCATAACTTACATTATGATTTTTTCATCAATATTCATACAAAGTCTGAATGATTTCTGTCTGAGTGAATAAAACAAAAATTTCCACACTTTCAAAAAGGGCTCATTCGAAATTTGTGCTTTCATTCCCTCCACTCTTTGCTGTCTAATATAAATTTTCACTCCCTTGTGATGAGCAGAAATAGAGAAATAAAAGGACAAAGCCATGAAATCTGTCCCCTTCTATCTTTACCTCCTGGAGTTTACACTAATGGCCAGATTTAGAGAATGTGGCATTGTGGGGTTTCAGGAACAGAAAGGAAATTTTCCCCTTTCAGCAATAAGCTTTCCCCACTGTCTTTTATCTTTCTTTTTCATTTGGATCCTAGGATATCAAAAATGTGAAGGTGCTTGCTGAAAAACAGGAGCCAAAATTTGAAACCACAGAAGAAGCAGAGTGAAATTGCTGAGACGCTAGGATAGAGTTCTGGAAAATGAGATGCTTTCCAAATTTCACATTCAGTAACCACAACACTACATAGCTGGAGGATATACAGTGGAAATATTTATCTACTTTAGCCCTATTATCTAAAGATTAAATGACTCATCCAAAGCTCCTAAACCTAAAGTGGCATTTCCTAGCATTTTACGGCACAAAAACTGCTAATACTATTTTATAATGCAGAGTCAGATAAATTACCTGATAAATTCATTAAATTAATCAGAAGAATTAAAAGTATGATCCTGGGAAAATAACTTAATGTCTCAGCAGGGGCTGAGAGGCCTCATCTACTTTTCCTTTTAAAGGTATCACCAGATTTTTGTTTATCTTTAAAACTCGATGTACAGAAATCAGGTTTCTACTTTGGAGTCAGAAACTAAATTTTTAGCTGAGAATCTGTGGTATTTATATGATAAAGTTATACATGCTAATACGTATCATACTCTATTAAATAAAATCACATTAAGATCTGATTTTGACAGAAACATATAAACTTGGTGGTTAGAAAAATAAATGGAGGTATCTATATATATTTGTTTTCAAACATATTTAAGGTGATCATGATGAAATTATAAGCCCCAACATATTGAGTTAAATGGATCAACTTGCACATGTGAAGGCACAACATACAACATACAGATTCCTTTGACTATGAATATTTGTTCCAATTCTCAAGGATAGATACATTTTTATATCACTTCTTAGTCATTGCTTCCTTCCCATTGATTTCCCACTTTATTACGTAAGTGCAATTCATCTTCAAGTCAATAGAAAAAGTTACATCCTAGAGCTTATTACATTCATTAAGCAATTTCCTATATGCTAACCCTAGTTCAGAAGTACCCATATCTATAGTATATGGATAGATTAGTTTCTCAATCTCTATGCCACTTGGAAAACAGATAGATAGATTTGGGTTGATTAAGGAACGAAGACTGCAGAATGTTTTCCTGAACTTCTATCATTTAGATAGAGAAATAATCTATTTCTACACACAATTATGTATTTAGAAACTCCATTTTACACAAGAGATTTTCATAAGTAAAAAATCAGAGGCTGGGAAGATGGCCGCCTAAGAACAGCTCAGGACTTCAGCTCCCAGTGAAAGTGCAGAGGGTGAGTGGACGCTGCATTTCCAGATGAACTCTTATTGCCCACAGACCAGGAGATACCCAGGCAGAGGGGTCGCCAGCGTCGAGTCCCAGCCAGTGTGGCTGTTTTGGCCCTCGCGGGGCTGATTCCGCCTGTGCGGCTGCTGTGAACACGCCCTGTTGCTGCGGTTCTCCATACAAAAGCCACTGGTCTGGGAGCCCTCTTAGCTGGCGAGCAGAGCCCTGAGATGGCAGAGTTGCCCATTGATCTGAAATAGCGAGTCAGGCCAGGAGATTCCTAGGCAAAAAATCCGCCAGGAGCCAGTGCTGCAGTTCGAGCGGACTCCGTGAGTCGCAGCACGGGAAATCCCGGCGCCTTTTCAACAAGCAACCGGAATGCGGGGTCCTTCAACTTAAAAGAAAAGACTCTGAGTCAGGAAGCCAGGTGATCAGGCTCCCTTGGTCCCACCCCTCCACCCCCAACAACAACAAAACAAAAACAGTAATTGGAAACCCTCTGGGTTGAGCCCTTCAAACCAAGAACAGCTGAACCCGGACGGGTCCGGCTCCGTGGGGGAGGGGCTTCCGCCATTACTGAGACTCTCCACCGCTAAGGAGGCAGGCTGCCTTGCCAAGGCAACCCGCCGTTGCCGAGGCAACCTGCCACAACAGAGAGAGTCCACCATAACAGAGGCGGGGCCACCATTGCCCAGACAGTTCTAACTACACCCATATAAAAAGGACTACAGGGAAGAGCTCAGGGCAGCTGGGCGGAGCCCACAGCAGCTCAGAAAAGCCCCTGTGGGCAGGCAGACGCTAGGCCTGCTGCTAGCTGGGCGGGTCCGACCTGAAAAAAAATCAAAAAGGCAGTAGTGCAACGGAAACTCATAAAGCTCCAACTCCCTGGGACAGAGACAGACAACAGGTGGATAAACCCAAAAAAATGGGAAGAAACCAGCACAAAAAAGATGAAAACTCCCGAAACCAGAACACCTCTCCTCCTAAAAGGGATCACAACTCCTCACCAGCAAGGGAACCAGACTGGATGGAGAAGGAGGGTGATGAAATGACAGAATCAGACTTCAGAAGGTGGGTAGTAAGAAACTACAATGAGCTAAAAGAACATGTTCTAACCCAACGCAAAGAAAATAGGAACCTTGAAAAAAGATTGGACGGACTGCTGACGAGAATGGACAGCATAGAGAGGAGTATAAGTGAATTGATGGAGCTGAAAAACGCAACATGAGAACATCGTGAAGCATGCACAAGCTTCAACAGCCGAATTGACCAAGCAGAAGAAAGGATATCAGAGGTCGAAGATCAACTCAATGAAATAAAAAGAGAAGGCAAGAACAGAGAAAAAAGCGCAAAAAGGAATGAACAAAATCTTCAAGAAATGTGGGACTATGTGAAAAGACCTAATCTACGTCTGATAGGTGTACCTGAATGTGATGAAGAGAATGAATCCAAGCTGGAAAATACTCTTCAGGATATTATCCAGGAAAACTTCCCCAACCTAGCAAGACAGACCAATATTCAAATCCAGGAAATACAGAGAACACCACAAAGATATTCCTCAAGAAGAGCAACCCCAAGGCACATAATCGTCAGATTCACCAGGGTTGAAATGAAAGAGAAAATGCTAAGGGCAGCCAGAGAGAAAGGTCGGGTTACCCACAAAGGGAAGCCCATTAGACTCACAGCAGATCTCTCAGCAGAAACCCTACAAGCCAGAAGAGATTGGGGGCCAATATTCAACATCCTTAAAGAAAAGAACTTTCAACCCAGAATCTCCTATCCAGCAAAACTAAGCTTCATAAGAGAAGGAAAAATAAAATCCTTTGTGAACAAGCAAGCACTCAGAGATTTCATCACCACCAAACCTGCTCTACAAGAACTCCTGAAAGAGGCTCTACACATATAAAGGAACAACCAGTACCAGCCACTCCAAAAACACACCAAATGGTAAAAGAGCATCAACACAATCAAGAATCTGCATCAACTAACCAACAAAAGAGCCAGGTAGCCTCAAAATGACAGCATCAAATTCACACATAACAATACTATCCCTAAATGTCAATGGACTAAATGCCCCAATCAAAAGACACAGACTGGCAAATTGGATAAAAAGCCAAAACCCATCAGTGTGCTGTATCCAGGAAACCCATCTTACATGCAAGGATACACAAAGGCTCAAAATAAAGGGATGGAGGAAGATCTACCAAGCAAATGGAGAGCAAAAAAGGGCAGGAGTTGCAACTCTCATCTCTGATAAAATAGACTTTAAAGCAACAAAGATCAAAAGAGACAAAGAAGGACATTACATAATGGTAAAAGGATCACTGCAACAAGAAGAGCTAACGATCCTAAATATATACGCACCCAATACAGGAGCACCCAGGTACATAAGGCAAGTTCTTAATGACTTACAAAGAGATTTGGACTCCCACATAATAATAGTGGGAGACTTTAACACCCCATTGTCAATATTAGACAGATCAACCAGACAGAAAATCAACAAGGATATCCAGGACCTGAACTCAGACCTGGAACAAGCAAACCTAATAGACATTTACAGAACTCTCCACCCCAAATCCACAGAATATACATTCTTCTCAGCACCACATCACACCTACTCGAAAATTGACCACATAATTGGCAATAAATCACTCCTCAGCAAATGCAAAAGAACAGAAATCATAACAAACAGTCTCTCAGACCACAGTGCAATCGAGTTAGAACTCAGAATGCAGAAACTAACTCAGAACCGCACAGCTTCATGGAAACTGAACAACTTGCTCTTGAATGTTGACTGGATAAACAATGAAATGAAGGCAGAAATAAAGATGCTCTTAGAAACCAATGAGAACGAGGACACAACATACCAGAGTCTCTGGGACACATTTAAAGCAGTCTCTAGAGGAAAATATATAGCAATGAGTGCCCACATGAGAAGAAAGGAGAGATCTAAAATTGACACCCTATCATCAAAATTGAAAGAGCTAGAGGAGCAAGATCAAAAAAACTCAAAACCTAGCAGAAGACAGGAAATAACTAAGATCAGAGCAGAACTGAAGGAAATAGAGACACAAAACACTCTTCAAAAAATCAATAAATCCAGGAGCTGGTTTTTTGAAAAGATCAACAAAATAGACAGACCACTCGCCAGATTAATAATAACAAAAAAAAAGAATAACCAAATTGATGCAATAAAAAACGATAAAGGTGATATCACCACAGATTCCACAGAAATCCAAACCATCATCAGAGATTATTACAA